ACCTGTTCCCGCTCTTTTCATTTCAAGTGTTTCTGCCTGCATCGGTCTTGGTCAGACGGTTGCTGCGTCGCTTCGACTCTTCTGACTCCTCGACTTCGTACTCGGTAGAGTCGGCTCCTGCAGCATACAAGAATGCCTTACTCATAAAAATTCATATCGTAACACTCCCCTTCATTCCTGGGCGCAGGAGGAGCTGACTCGCTTGACTACTCCGGTGAGGTCAGAGCAGTGCTTGTACTGCTGACGTGGCAGGCGCTTGGTGAGGAAGTCTGCTGCCATCTCAGTAGTCGGGCAGTAGGCGAGGTCAACTTTGCCTTGGTCAATTTCGTCCTTGACGAAAAAATACCGAAGTGCGATGTGCTTCGTGCGGTTCACGAAACCAGGCTTGTTCGCAATCCTGATGGCACTCTGGTTGTCGCAGTGAAGGCGAAAGGTAGGCGAGGTTGGAATTTTCGCTTCCTGTAACAGCTCTTGCAGGTACAGGCCTTCGCGAACTGCTGCTGTCGCGGCGATGTTTTCTGCTTCAGCCGACGACAGGGCAACCAGCTCCTGCTTTTGTGAGTTCCAGGAGATTGGCCCAGTTGGTTCCAGGCGAAAAACAAAGCCGGTTCGGGACCGTCGATTGTCAGGGTTAGCGGCGTGATCTGCGTCCACGTTGCCGTTGAAGTTGAAGGAGGTCGTCGTCAGCGTGACATAGGAGAGCCCAATGTCAGGCGTGGAGATGAAGTACTGTAAGGCGCGTTCCAGGTCCAGCTGGTTCTCAGCTACTGGCTTGCGAGAATACTGCGCCAGTTGGCTAGCGATGTACGAAAGGCCGGGTCGACAGGTGACAGAGGCGAACAGCAGACAACCCAGTTGCTGCTGGTACAGTTGGAGTCCTGCGGGTGACAGTGGTTTGTTATCCGGTTTGTAGTTGGTGCTGGGGTTGCGGTAGGGAGTTGAGAGTGGTGCGGGAGAGATGTTGAAGCGTTCTCCCAGCTGCTCTGCATACTTGGAGGCTGACAGATGGATTGCTTCTGGCGCGTAAGTGATGTTTAACCCCAAAAACTGCTTCACTTCGAGGTTGATCGTGATGTCTACGCGCTGCGCCAGGTTCTCCTGAAACTGATCCAGGAGTTTGTTCCAGGTGCCCGTGTACAGCAGGTCGTCGATGTAGACTGTCAGGAGGATGTAGTCTCCACTGAAGTGAAGGCGATACATTCCCGGGTCGTGTGGGAGTTGCTTGAAGCCGATTTCGAGGAGAATTTTGTGCAGGTGCTGCTGCCAGAGGCGATGCGCCTGCTTGATCCCGTAGAGGGACTTCTTCAGTTGACAGACCCTGGGATCACCTTCCCCGTAGGTGTGCGGGTGCTCCACAAAGATGGTGGCGTCCACCAACGCATACAAAAACGCGTTCTTTACGTCGATCTGTCGCAGTGGCAGGTGCTTCGCGGCGGCAATGGCGAGTAGAATCCGGACTGAGGTGTGGCGACTGACGGGAGCGAAGGTTTGATCGAAGTCGATGCCATGGCGCTGATCGTACCCGCGTATGACCCAGCGTGCCTTGAAACGGTCGATAGTGCCGTCAGCGTTAGTTTTCAGGCGAAAAACTCACTTCCCGCTGAGCACCCTCCTCCCCTTCACTGCTGCACGTCGACTAGGACCCAGGTGTCACGCGATTCCAGCGCCTTTAGCTCCGCATCCATCCCAGCACGCCACTCCTTGGCGTGAGGACCGGTTAGGGCCTGGCGAGGATTCTTTGGCTCCACGGCCCGTGCAAGGGTAGAGACAGATGTGTGCAGGCCGAGAAGTTGAAGGCTTGATACATTGGTGGTGTCTGTGTTGGTGGGGACTTCCACCACGTCGTCATCTCCGCTCTCATAGCCAGGTGCTGCGGTGCTTGGCTGTGCTTGGCGCCATGATGGTCCTGGCGCGGGGTCGTCATCGATGTCATTGTCGTCGTCGTCGCGCGGGTGAGGAGGAATGCCGGGCTGTTCGTCGGTGTCATCACGGTCCAGTACTGTCGCTGCTGCTGCATCTTCTGGAGTCGCGAAGCTGCGGCCGCTGTTGACATAGTCGCGTGCCTGGTTTCGGCGCTCGTCCTCGATCCACAGCTTCATGGTGAGTCGTTCATAGAAGAGGATGTCACGCGCAGGAACGATCTCCTTGCTGTCGATGTCAAGAATGAGCCAACCTTTATGCTCGTGACTGAGCCCCAAATGAACTCCCCAGCGCGCACGATGAACGAACTTGCTGATTGTTGCTGAAGTCGGCCGATATTGCACCATGCACCCCCAAACTCTCAGCATGGAGGGGTCTCCCCTTGAGCCGGTCCACTTCATGTGAGGGGACAGGTTATCCTTGTTGGCGGTGGTGGAGAGGAGGTTGTGCAGGCGCACCGCGTGATTCATGGCGTAGGGCCAAAATTTCTTTGGCAGGCCGGTCTGGTTCATGATGGCGCGGACTTTGGTCATGAGCGTGCGGTTGACCCTTTTGGCGACACCTTGCTCCGGAGCCTTGGAGCGGGCGTCGACGTTGGCGACCCACACGTGGCGTGAGTAGGCATCGATGAAGGTCAGTGTGTATTTTTCGCCGTTGAGTCCGTCGCAGGTGAGCACGATGAAGTTACTGTACACCTTCTCCAAATTTTTGTAGCGGTTGGTACTCGGCTCCAGAGAGGGATAAGCGGTGTGGGAGAGTGCAGCTGTGGGACAGACAGTGCAAGTGGTTGGATGAGGGGTGGTGTGTTGTAATTCCGTTCCGTCGGGGCGCAGCAGTGCTCCTGGCAGGAATACTTTAGCGCGGAGGCAGTTGGCGAGAGTCTGGCGCGAGGGGTGTCCCATCCGCTGGTGCCAGAGATCGTCCTCGGCGCGAATGCCGGAAGTACGCTTGTAGCGGGTGTGATGTTCTGATGCCTCCTCCGCCGTGAGTTGCGGGATCTGGAGTGGAGGTTCTTCCTCTTCTCCTGGTTCTGCTTCGTTGTCCTGCTCCTCTGTTTCTGCTTCTATCGTTGCCTCCCCTTCTGCAGGTGCCGTTGTGAGGTAGAGCGCGAGAAATTCGCGGTCGGGGATGATGGTGAGCGGGGTCGTGGTGCCTTCGATGAATCGTGCAAACGGATCTGGGCGGGAGATTGGACCAAGAGAGTCCTGTCAAAATATGTTTACATATTTTATATAATCGTTTGCAGTTGTGTGAAAGTTTAGAAGAGAGAAGAGGGATTGCACTAGCAAGAATGGGGATACAAATAGCAAACCCTAGAAGGGTTGTACTCGCTATAGAGCACCCCACTACAGGCTAGAGCATAAGATAACATTCTGACACACCCCCATAGCCAAAGTGGGGTGTAATCAGCAGAGCAAGCAAAGCAGTACAAGCTCAGGGTGGATCACAATGTCACCACACATTCTGAGCACAAGTTCAAGAAGCAATAGTTTAAAGGGTACAATTATGAGCAAAGCTAGTGGTAGTCACAACGGGCAAGCGAGGAGGAGGAGAGAGAGTGAGAGGAGAGGAGATAGGAGGCGACGTCTGAAGCTGCAGACACACGGGCAACAGGAGGCAGACTAGCACAGCGGCTACCGGACGAAGTCCCCGGAATACAAGAGTAACAGGCCCCGCGGCTAAAGTAGCGGCAGACGAGCAACGGACCCACGGGCGGCTGGCACAGCTGGCTACGACTGGGCTACCGGACGAAGTCCCCGGAATACAGGTGCTGCTGGCGACACGACGACAACCTCCAAACAGCTTCCCAAAACTATCCCACTCCCCCTGGCACACACCCGCTGCTACACCGCTAGCTCCACTCCCACGCACCCCCCTTAAACCCTAAACCCCAGTCTCCCACACATCCACCCCCCTCAGCGACAGCTGCAGCAGTGGGAGACAAAGGAGGAGGAGGAGCAAAGGGAGGAATGCAGAAGTGCCACCCCCATACTCGCCACCCCCTACTCGCCACTCCCCAAACCCTAATACAGGCAGGGCGGGATGGCGGGTAGGGAGGTTACGAGGGAGGGGGGGGGGGGGGGGGGGGAACCGACGCGCGGCCTCCCAGGGCGCCAAGAGAGGCAGCAGAAGGGGCGGCGCTCGCCCCCCTCCCCCAGGTAAGCGGCCCCCGAGGGAGCCGCGACGGGCGACGGGAAAAGGGGCCGCAGGCGGGGCCGGGGCCGGGGCGCAGGTAGGGCGACGGGGCCGAGGCGCGCGCCCTCGGTGCGCCGCGACGGGTCCCCGTCGCCCGTCGCGGCGCCTCCAGAGGGCGACGTGGCGAACGACGGGGCAGAAGCCCGCCGCGCGCCTCGGGGCGCACAGCGGGCAGAGAACCGCCGCGCGCCTCGGGGCGCACGGCGGGCAGAAAACCGCCGCGCGCCTCGGGGCACACGGCGGGCAGAAAACCGCCGCGCGCCTCGGGGCGCACGGCGTGCAGAAAACCGCCGCGCGCCTCGGGGCGCACGGCGGGAAGAAAAAGTGCCGCACGCTAGGGGGCGTGCGGCTCAGACAGTAGTGAAAGGTAGTTGCAGCGGAAGCGAGGAGGTGGTAACCCACCCACATGATCGATCCAAGGGGATCGACCTGCTCTGATAGCATGTGAAAGTTTAGAAGAAAGAAGAGGGATTGCACTAGCAAGAATGGGGATACAAATAGCAAACCCTAGAAGGGTTGTACTCGCTATAGAGCACCCCACTACAGGCTAGAGCATAAGATAACATTCTGACAAGTTGTAGTATAGATATTGCATCATGTTTGGTGGTGCACCTCCTTGTGTTGCTGTTTACCTATTTGTACTTGCTATTCTCATTAGTGAACCCCTCTTTTGGCTTGCATTTCCTCTCGCTACTTTCCTAAGCCTCAACCCTAGGCTTTACATAGCCTCCTATTCTCGTTCATTTTGACATGCTATCAGAGCAAACTACGTTCCTGGCCTGTTGCTTCCGCTGCTACTCTGTCTACTGCACGCCCCGTGGCGTGCCCCTCGCTAGGCCCCTTCGCGGCCCCGTCGCCGCCCTTATCGGCCCCGTCGCCGCCTTTTACGGCCCCGTCGCCACCCCTACCGGCCCCGTCGCCGACCTTTCAGGCCCCTCGCGGCCCCTTCGCGGCCCCGTCGCCGCCTCCAGCGGCCCCGTCGCCGCCCCTACCAGCCCCGTCGCCGACCTTTCAGGCCCCTCGCGGCCCCTTCCCGGCCCCGTCGCCGCCCCTATCCGCCCCGTCGCCGCCTCAAGCGGCCCCGTCGCCGCCTCCAGCGGCCCCGTCGCCGCCCCTATCGGCCCCGTCGCCGCCTCCAGCGGCCCCGTCGCCGCCCCTTGCGGCCTCGTCGCTGCCCCTTTCGGCCCTGCCTCGACCCCGACCCCGGCCCTGCCCCGACCCTGTCGCGGCCCCGTCCCGAGGAGGAGTTGGTGGTATATTTCCCTCCTCAATCTCCGACCAGGGATCGGTCCAGCGATGAGGTGAGCGAGGTGGTTCACCAGTGCGGGGGGTCCACCCGAGGGGAATGGCGACTCGAGGTGGTGCTTCGCCGCGCTCAACTTTCATTTCGCGTTCAGCTTCCTCCAGTTCTTCTTGGATAAGCTCCCCTTCATCGGGTTCGGCTGGTCCCCATCCTCCTGTGGTAACCGTTCCGCTGGCGCTGGCTCCCCATGCTCCAGTGGCGGATGCCCAGGTTGCGTCGTGTTCTGCGTTGGTATCCTCGTCGCCCCATCCTCCGTGTGCTGATTGTTCGTCCCATCCTGCCGCGATGCGCTCCTCATACAGCTTTTGCTTCTTTTCCGCTCGTACCTTGTCTCGTTCTTCCTGGACACTCAGCTCCTCTGGTGCGTCAGGGTCTTTCCAAGTTGGATTAATCTCGTGACGGTAGTATTCGTGGGTGTATGGGCGCGGTTCTCCATCTTCGTCGAAGGTGGTGGTGTTGGCTTCTAGAACGAAGAGGAGGGTTTCCGAATAGGGCCTTGGTCTGCTCACCCTCTGCTGCCCGAATTGCTTGTTCGGCTCACCGAAGATACGGTGAGGTGACACGGCGAGTTCTTCACGTGTCATGCCTGTAGGTTCTGCCTCAGCGCTCTCCGCCTCCTGAATTGCTGCGTACTCCCGCTCAACTTGCTCCGTGCGGCTTGCCGTGGGTGTGAGGATCTAGGATCGAGCTCAGAAAAGAGAATGTGAATTGAATGAATTGAATGATCACCTGGGTACAACGCGAGGCTATATATAGGCTCGACACAAGGCCCAGAAACCAGGTGTTACGCGAAGGTTCCGCGGGTCGCGAAACGTCCAGAACAGATCCTTACCGAATTCGGTAGAAGGCAATTCGGTGGCAACCGAAACGCCAGAATTCGGTGCATGCAACCTAGCTCGGTGCTAGAACTATAATAAAATATAGGAAAGCACCTAGCCTAGGAAATCAAGCAATTCATGCATGCATATAATTATCCTATGCTAGAAATAGCATAATAAAGTAAGGCAAGCAAGCATAGCTGGCATAAGCCGTCGTACTCTCACACGTCCCCCCCTCAAAGCTGGGTGGCGTGAGATACACCCTGCTTGACAAGATAGTCATTGAGAGCACGGCGTGCGTTGCCCATATCAGCTTCTGCAACCCAACTGTCCTCAGTGGGGTCGTATCCCTTCCAGCGGATCAGGAACTCGAGGGTCTTGCCACCGCGGCGCCGATGAGAGAGAACGCGCTCCACTTCGTACTCTGGTTCATCCTGTACGAGAACCGGTGGTGGCGGCGGTAGCTGCCGTCCCTGGAACTGTTGGTTGGGGTCCTTGTAGGGCTTCAGTAGGTGACCATGGAAAGCGTTGTGAAGCTTCCATGTATCTGGTAAGCGCAAGCGGAATGTAACTGGTGTCACCTGTGCCTCAATGAGTAAAGGACCACAGAAGCGAGGCCGTAGTTTGGATGGGAGGTGAGACAGGTTCAAGTTGCGCGTGTCAAGAAGCACCTGATCTCCGACTGCTAATGAGTGATCACGTCGCTGACGATCGGCATACTGCTTCTGGGAGGTCTGCATCGTGATGAGTCGTCGCTGAGTCTTCTCCCATAGCTGCTGCATGGTGATGACGAAGTCATGTGCGGCTTGGACGTATGCCGGTGTAGTTGGCTGCTGTGGTGTAAGTGGTTCCCATCCATAGCACAGGAAGAAAGGAGTTTTCCCTGTGGCCGCATGTGATGCGTTGTTGTAAGCGAACTCTAGGGTCTGTAACTGTGTGTCCCAGTGGCTGACGTCGTCCTTGCAAGCTGTGCGCAGTAACTGTTCGACAACTTGATTGAGTCGCTGGGTCTGTCCGTCAGTCTGTGGGTGGTATGCTGAGGACATCGCAAGTTTTGTCCCCAATAGTCCCATGAGCTCCTTCCAGAACTTACTGGTGAATTTTGGGTCTGTGTCTGAGATGAGTGTAGCGGGGATGCCTGTCAGAGGTCCACTGGTGATCCCCGATTGATCCTAAGGAAGGGTTACAGGCACGGTTGCCTGGGGGGTTATGGGCGCACTGACCCGCTACTGAAACAAGCCCTTTTATCCCAATGGTCTAGTAGTTGGGATTCTGAGATGGTATCCAGAGCGAAGGTCTCGGGTTCGAATCCCGGTGTGTGCACTTCGAGCATCCCAGTGAGGGGGGGTGTCAGAGGTCCACTGGTGATCCCCGATTGATCCTAGGGAAGGGTTACAGGCACGGTTGCCTGGGGGGTTGTGGGCGCACTGACCCGCTACTAAAACAAGCCCTTTTATCCCAATGGTCTAGTGGTTGGGATTCTGAGAATGCCGTGGATGGTGATGATGCGGTCGAAGAAGAGGCGAGCAGTTGCTTCTGCTGTAGCTGTGGCGTTGGTCGGTATGAAGTGACCCATTTTGGAGAACTTACCGATGACTACGAGGATGGAATTGTGCCCCCGTGAGGTCGAGGGAAGTCCTGTGATAAAGTCGAGGCTAACGACCTGCCATGGCTGCTCCGGTACGGGTAGAGGTTGAAGTAACCCTGCTTTTTACTGCTTGCTGCTCTTTATCCACTGGCACGTGTCGCATGAGGTGACGAACTGCTGCACGTCTGCTGCCATCCCGGGCCAGTAGTAATACTTTGCTATCCCTGCTAACGTCTTGTTGCTCCCAAAATGTCCCGCGTAAGGTACGTCGTGAAACTCCTCCAATAGGATCTGCCGTAGCGGGGCGTAATTCGGTACCCAAATCTTTCCTGAACCTTTCCTTATAGCTAAGTCTTTCTCCTACTGTAACAACTTCTTGGTCTGTGCTGTAGCGATTTCTGCGTCCACGGAGTACCCATGTTGGAATAGACCCTTGAGCAGAGGGTTCATCCCGTCGAGCTGGATGCCTGCTACATGTCCGGGGCGGCTCAACGCGTCTGCCTTGTTGTGTAGCCCGGGCTTGTAGACGATGTCGTAGTGGAAGTGAGTTTCCAGGAAGTCCACCCACCGCACCTGTCGTCGTGAGAGCGTCGGCTGCGACTTCAGGTATTTGAAACTGCAGTGGTCAGTACAGACTGTAGTCTTGGCTCCCTCTAGGTAACACCTCCACACCTTGAAGGCTATGACTATCGCTAGGGCTTCCTTGTCATGGATGGGGTAGTTCAGTTCTGCTCCGTGTAACTTCTTACTGAGTCAGTGCTGTCTGTAGCTGCTCCATGGCTTGCTGATGAGGGGTATCCCATTTGTAGGGCGTATCCTTTTCCAGTAGGTCGGTCAATGGCGCTGCTATCTTAGCGTACTGCGGCACGAACCTGTTGTAGTAGTTGGCAAAGCCTAGGAACTGCTGCAACTCCTTCACGTTCTCCGGTACTTTCCACTTTTTTACGGCTTCGATCTTCCGCGGGTCCACGTGTACGCCCTCGGCACTCACCATGTGCCCGAGAAACTGCACCTTCTTCGGGGCGAAGTCGCTCTTCGACAGCTTCACGTAGAACTTGTTTTTCCGCAAGATCTCAAACACCTTCCGTAGATGCTCCACGTGCTCCTTCATGTTCTTGGAGTAGATGAGGATATCGTCCAAGTACACCACTACGCACTTGTCCAACAGGGGCCGTAGAATATGGTTCATTTCCGCCTGGAACGTTGCTGGTGCGTTGCAGAGTCCGAACGGCATCACCAAGTATTCGTAGGAGCCGTATTGAGTACGGAACGCCGTCTTGTGGATCGAGTTGTCCGCCATCTTGATCTGCCAGTATCCCGACCGTAGGTCCAGCTTCGAGAAGACTGTTGCACCACGCAGTTGATCGAGTGGGTCGTCTATGCGCGGTATGGGATATTTGTTTTTGACTGTCTGTTTGTTCAGTGCGCGGTAGTCGATGCACATCCATAAACTACCGTCTGGCTTTGGAGTGAGGAGAACTGGTGCATGTCAGAATGTTATCTTATGCTCTAGCCTGTAGTGGGGTGCTCTATAGCGAGTACAACCCTTCTAGGGTTTCCTATTTGTATCCCCATTCTTGCTAGTGCAGTCCTCTTCTCTCTTCTAAATTATCACATGCTATCAGAGCAGGTCGATCCCCTTGGATCGATCCTGTGGGTGGGCTCACCACCTCGTTGCTTACGTTGCAACTGCTACTGCTACTCTATGTGCCGCACGCCCCGTGGCGTGCGGCAGTTTTTTCTGCCCGCCGTGCGCCCCGAGGCGCGCGGCGGTTTTCTGCCCGCCGTGCATCCCGAGGCGCGCGGCGGTTTTCTGCCCGCCGTGCGCCCCTAGGCTCGCGGCGGTTTTCTGCCCGCCGTGCGCCCTGAGGCGCGCGACGGGTTTCTGCCCCGTCACTCGGCGCGTCGCCCCCAGGAGGCGCTGCGACGGGCGACGGGGACCCGCGCGTCGCACCCCGTCGCCCTACCTACGGCCCCGGCCCCGTCGCCCTACCTGCGCCCCGGCCCCGGCCCCGTCGCCCTACCTGCGACCCCGGCCCCGTCGCCCCACCTCCGACCCCGGCCCCGTCGCCCTACTTGCGCCCCGGCCCCACCGCCCTACCTGCGTACCGGCCTCGTCGCCCTACCTACGGCCCGGCCCCGTCGCCCTACCTACGGCACGTGCACCACCCCCCCCCCCCCCCCCCCCCCCCCTTTTCCCGTCGCCTATCGAGGCGACCTGAGGGGCGACCTGGGGGGTGGCGGGTGTGTGGTCTCCCCTTCTCCTCCTCCTCCTCCGTCTCCCTGTGCTGCAGCTGACGCTGAGGGGGGGTGGACGTGTTGGAGCTGGTGGAGTGGTACTAAGGGGGGGGTGAAGGGGGAGTGGAGCTAGCGGTGTAGCAGCGGGTGTGTGCCAGGGGGGAGTGGGATAGTTTGGGGAAGCTGAATGGAGGTTGCCGTCGTGTCGCCAGGAGCACCTGTATTCCGGGGAGTTGCTCCGGTAGCCCAGTCGTAGCCAGCTGTGCCAGCCGCCCGTGGGTCCATTGCTCGTCTGCTGCTACTTTAGCCGCGGGGCCAGTTACTCCAGTATTCCGGAGCGTTGTTCCGGTAGCCGCTGTGCCAGTGTGCCTCCTGTTGCCCGTGTGTCTGCAGCTTCATCCGTCGCCTCCTATCTCCTCTCCTCTCACTCTCTCTCCTC